GGGCGGGGCCGGGCGGGGCCAGGGCTCAGGCCGCGCTCTCTGCAGACACCCAAACGTGGATCTGCAAGCCCACGGCCTCCAACCAGGGCAAAGGCATCTTCCTGCTCCAGAGCCAGGAGGAAGTCGCCGCCCTGCAGGCCAAGACCCAGAGCATCGAGGACGACCCCGTCTACCACAAGCTGCGGCTCCGGGGGCCTCAGGCGCGGGTGGTGCAGCGGTGCGGAGCGGGCGCCCGGAGGGCGGGGTCTGGGCGGGCTGACCCGGGCCCCACTGCGCGGTCAACAGGGCCGCTGAGGAGCCCTCGGCCGCGGAAAGCTGCCGCACCCCCAGCCCTGGTGCCGACCACAGAGGGGAGGGGCCGCAGCAGGCCAGGGCCACAGACACAGGACCCAGGGTGGAGGGGCTGGTCAGTTTGACCCTCGGCTGGGACCCTGTACCCCAGTCCTGCAGTTGGCCTGGCCTTGGTCTCCCGGCTACCGGCCCCCTGCTCCCCAGCCCGGTCAGCCAGCTGCAGCCTTCAGGTCTGTGGCCAAGCTGACCACTCCTTCCCTGCTCCAGAAAGCCCCGTGGCTGCTGGAGGCTGAAGGTCTAGACCTGTCGACCTCACCCCTGGCCCGCGTAGAGCCTCGCTCTGACCACAGCTGCCGTCCGCCGCCCCCAGCTTCCATCGGCTCCTCCCTGGGGTCCCTCCACCAGGCAGGCTCTCTCAGCCCAGCTCCCCCTGGAGCGCTCCTCTGCCTGGCGCACCCCGCCGACTGCCTGGCGCCCCGCCCCCAGCCGCCTGGCATACTCTTTCCCCTCCTCTCCAAAGCCACTTCATGCCCTCCTCCTCCTCCAGGCAGCCCTCCAGTCTCCTACTGCTGTTACGCCCTGGGGCAGGGACCAGGGTGCCAGGCCCCTCCTCCCAACTCTACTGACATGTTCAGGCCCAGAAATGCCCCCTTTCCCTGGAGGTCACGCCTGGGGCATAGGCAGGGAGCTGAGGAAATGGCCCAGGCCGGGTGTGGAGTTCGAGGGGACCCAGGCCAGGCAGCCCGCGGCTCAGCCCAGCAGCCCCGGTGCGGTGCCCCCAGGTACATCCAGAACCCGCTGCTGCTGGACGGGAGGAAGTTCGACGTGCGCTCCTACCTGCTCATCGCCTGCGCCGTGCCCTACATGGTCTTCTTCGGCCATGGCTACGCCCGCCTCACCCTCAGCCTCTACGACCCCCGTTCCAGCGACCTCAGCAGCCACCTGACCAACCAGGTAAGACTGCAACTGGTGAGGGCCCTCCCTGCAGCCTTGGGATGAATTTAGAGGAAGGTTCTCACCAAGAGGGGGTGCAGAGCAGGTGCAGCTGCAGACGGAGGTGGCCCAGGCCCCGCGGTGGCCCAGCCCCAGAGGCTGCCTGGGCTGCCCCCACCTGCAGTCAGCACTGCCTCTCACCTCCCTCTTTCCGCCGTGGCAGAAGAAGGGCGTGGCTGGAACCCCTTTAGCTGGTGAAAGGGCTCAGAGCCCTGCAGCCCCCAACCCGCAGCCTGGCTCCCAAGCGGCAGCTGAGTTTGCTGAGGATGAGGTGTGGGTGGGTGGGAACCAAGGGGATCCTGAGCGGATGTCAGAGGAGGGCCCTGTGGGCAGAGGTCTCTAGGGAAGGGTCTTCATGGGAGAGTCCAGGGTATGTGCCTTATGTGAGGATCTGTGGGGTCTTCACAGCTGAGGGGGCGTCTCAGCAGATGAAGGGGTTTGCAGGAGGGTCTTTGCAGGCAGGTCATGGCAGGGGCTGGGGGAGCAGGGTTAGGAGGAAGCTGTCTCAGGTGACCCCCCCATGAGGACAGGCCCTCTGGGTTGGGGGACGCTTTCTTGGGGACCCAGTGAGGACATGCCCTCTGGGTTAGGGGACGCCCTCTTGGGGACCCAGTGAGGACATGCCCTCTGGGTGGGGGGACGCCCTCTTGGGGACCCAGTGAGGACGGGCCCTCTGGGTGGGGGGACGCCCTCTTGGGGACCCAGTGAGGACGGGCCCTCTGGGTGGGGGGATGCCCTCTTGGGGACCCTGTGAGGACAGGCCCTCTGGACACGCTGTGCCCCCAGTTCATGCAGAAGAAGAACCCCCTGTACGTGCTGCTGAAGGAGGACACGGTGTGGAGCATGGAGCGTCTCAACCACCACATCAATGACACCTTCAGGAAGGCCCGGGGCCTCCCCAGGGACTGGGTCTTCACCACTCTCACGGTGCGTCCCAGCGCCTCCCGCCAGGGTGCTGAGACCCCTCAGTCAGGGGTGGCCGGGCTGGAGTGCATGGGGGCTGCTCTAAGGAACGCGCCTGACCTGACCCCGTGGAACGAAGCTCTTCCAGTGTCCCCGCCCACTTAGCTGGTAGGCCGTCCCCAGCAGCCAGCAAAGGCCAGGGGATGAGAAGCCCAGCTGGGGGCCCGCCTCCAGGTCCCTGCAGGCAGCCACACTGCACGGCCTGGGACAGCCAGGGTCGCCTGCCGGGTCCCTCCCACCACGGATGGAGCTTCCATCTCCCTGGCTTCTTTCACTCCGTGTGGTGTTTTCAGGGTTCATCCCTGTAGCCCATGTATCATTTTCTTTTCTTTTTTCTTTTTGAGATGGAGTCTCGCTCTGTCGCCCAGGCTAGAGTGCAGTGGTCCTGGCACAGACTCAAAAGTCAGTTGACCAGAGCTGCCTGGTCCATGTCTGGACCTCAGTTCTGCTCCGTTCGTGTGTGTGTCTGCCCTTACGCTATACCACCTGGTTTGGATCGCCGTAGCTTTGTAGTGAGTCCTGAAATTGGGACGTGTGAGGCTTTCAATATTGTCCTTTTTCAAGATTGTTTTGGTTCTTCAGGGGTCCCTTACAATTCCACATGAATTTTAGAATTGGCTTTTCCATTTCAGAGGGGCGGGGTCTCAAATAAATAAATAAAAATCCATTGAAAAAAAATTTTTTGAGACAGAGTCTCGCTCTGTCGCCCAGGCTGGAGTGCAGTGGCGCAGTCTCAGCTCACTGCAACCTCGCCCCCCAGGTTCAAGTGATTCTCCTGCTTCAGCCGCCAGAGAAGCTGGGATTACAGGCGCGCACCACCACGCCCGGCTAATTTTTGTACTTTTAGTAGAGACAGAGTTTCACGGTGTTGGCCAGGCTGGTTTCAAACTCCTGACCTCAGGTGATCTGCCCACCTCAGCCTCTCATTACAGGTGTGGGATTACAGGTGTGAGCCACCGCGCCCGGCCTCACTGGAATTTTAATAAGCATCACATCGAAGCTGTAGGTCACTTTGGGTAGTAGTGACATCTCAACAATATTTAGTCTTCCAATCCATGAATATAAGGAGTCTTCCCATTTTTCTAGGTCTTCAATTTCTTTCAGCAATGTTTTAGGTACAAGTCTGTCACCTAGGGTAAATATTATTCCTAGTATACTTTAGTATTTTGATACTTGTGAATAGAATTATTTTTAATTCTATTCAGGTCTATTTGGCTTAAAAATAAATCCGATTTTTGTGTGTTGGTCTTGTATCCTCCAACTTTGCTGAATTCACTTATTAGCTCTGTGTGTGTGCGTGTGTGTGTGCGTGTGCGTGCATGCATGTGTGTCTGCATGTGTGTGCGTGTGCACGTGCGTGTGCACATGTGCATGTGTGTGTGTGCATGCATGCGTGTGCGTGCATCTGTGTGTGTGTTCGCGTGCGCGTGCCTGTGCGTGTGTCTGCGTGTGCGGCGTGTGCGCATGCGTGTGCGGCGTGTGTGCATGCATGCATGCTGCAAGACTTGTATGTAAGGATCACGTCATCTGGGAACAAGCAGCTTTACGTTTTCCTTTCAAATCCGTGTGCGTGTTGCTTCCTTTCTTACGTATTGCCAGCTAGAGCTTCCAGAGCAGTGCTGAGAAGTGGCAGAAGCAGCCACCCTCCTTTGCGGTCCGAGGAGGGGCTGTGGGTGTTCCCTAAATGCCCTCATCCCCCTGAGGATGCGCCTTCTATTCCTAATTTGTCGAGTGTTTTTTGTTAATATTATAGAAGCATGTGGAATTTTGTCAACTGCTTTTTCTGTGGCCCCTGAGATGCTCGTGTCTTCTCTTCCCTTCATTCTGTTAGTGTGCTGCATTGCGTTAACTTTCATACGATAAATCCCACTTGACAATGGTACAGGACCATTTAAATATGCCGCTGGACTTGGTTTGCTAGAATTTTAATGAGGATTTTTGTGTCTGTGATCATAAGCAATATCGGTCTGCGGCATTCTTTTCTTGGAGGTCTTTGGTTTGGGTATGAGGGTAACGCTGGCCGAACAACATGTTAGGATGTGTTCCTTCCTCTTTCATTTTTGGAGTCTTTGTGAAGGATCGGTGTTAATTCTTTGTTTGGAATAATTCACCAGTAAAGTCACCTGGGTTTTTCTTTGTGGGAAATTTTATTATTATTGCTAATACTACTGCAATCTTTATTTGTATTAGGTCCATCCAGATTTTTTGATCTTCAGTCTGGTTGGTTTTTCTAGGAATCTGTCCGTTTCTTCTAGGCTAATTTGTTTAGTGTACACAGTATTCCCCCGTCTCGTCTTCATCGATATAAAGTCTTTTCCCCTGATTTTAGTAATTTGATTCTTCTCTCCTTTTTTCTCAGTCTATCTAAGGCTTTGTCAATTCTGTTGATCTTTTCAATAACTAACCCCTGGTCTCACTGATTTTCTCTGCTGTTTTCGATTCCATTTATTTCCACTCCAGTCTTTATTATTTCCGTGTTTCTGCCCGCTTTGGGTTTAGTTTTCTCTTCTTTTTCTAATTTCTTAAGGTCAAAAGTTACAATTTCAGTTTTTCCTTCTTGCTTAGGGTAGGTGCTTAGTACTATAAATTTTCCTCTGAGAATGTCTTTGGCTGCATCCCATAGGATTTTGTGTGTTGCCTTCATTTTCATTTGTCTCAAAGTATTTTTATTTTTGTTTTACTTTTTTTTTTTTTTTTTTT